ATTTATAGTTGCATAGTTTCATGTGGTTCTTCTCCCTCGCTGTATTATGGGTTTGCTATGTGGGGAAAAATGAGCTGCTGGTTATGTTTGTGAGACAATCAGATGATTACTATTATTATATTATATATTAAGACCCTTGATCCTCACCTGACTATGGCTTTGTAAACTTCATCCATGATGTGGTTTATAATGGACTGTGGTACAGAAACAGTGACATTTTTACACACTTCTGGCTTACTCTGGCTATTCTCTGCTGTCTCGACGATATGTTTGACCCGTTTTAGACACTGTAGCTTCGTCGAAATGTTGCTTCTTCCTCTCAACTGAACCGCTATATGTCGCAAAAATCACACACTGCACCTTTAATTATCTTAATATTAATAACATAAAAATTACAGTTGTGTTGCACCTTTGCTGCAAGTGGCACTCATAATCCATTATGTTTGAATGGACATGATGCTTCTGTGAATACCAGCGCAAATTGAAAAGAATACCAAAGGAACTGCCTCAAATAATTCAATATACAGTCCCTGTTGATGAGCCTAAATGGACTCAGTTAAAGCCTTTCTGCAGTATGTCTGTCTGCTTGTTCACAGCAGGATGGTCAACTCTAAACTGCAGTGAAAAACAAGAAAGGAGCATTCAGCGTTGTTTTGCAATGGTTCCAGAACTATTCCAGCTTCTATAAATCGAAAGCACTCTAAATGAACAGTACAACAGTACTAAGCAAGAGCAGGCTATATTTTCTGATAAATCAATGATTGAGCCATTCAAATGCATCTATCAATCACTGTCTGCAGTCCTTTCTCCATTGCCTTTGATGTAAGCAGAATATTATCCAACTAGAAAATAGGCATTGTATTTATTATGGGCTTATAAAGCTGAATTAGAGCTATTATTTTCACATATAGTGGACTGTCAACCTGCTATATTAACTGCTCACTGAGACGTGTACAGCTATAATATTTTCTGTTTTACATGCTCACCAGCCATGTACATATTTTCCTTAGATGCACTCTAAAAAATGCTGGGTTGTTTTAACCCAATTTTGGGTCAAATATGGACAAATCCAGCCATTTGGTTAAAATTTTAAATTACATTTTTAACCCAATGTTTGAGTTTGTTCATATTTGACCCAAAATTGGGTTAAAACAACCCAGCATTTTTTAGAGTGTGTCTGTGCTCTCAATGGAAGAGAATAAAGAGCCATTGAACACTAACCCATGGGCCCTTTATCTTGTGTATAGTGCGTCAAAAAATACATGGTGGAAAAACAATCACTGCCATTTTCTGTGGCAGTAACGCTACCTCATATATCAATCAGTCTTGTGATAAAGCTCTCATATATAGTGGAGATGGAGATCAAAATGACCATATTACCAAAGTCGTCTTGACAGAAACTTATAATGATCCATAGATGAAAGTAATTCTATTGTCAAAGGAAAACCTGGAATTTATTGCATTATAAAAGCCCTTTGATGTTCTTTTTGCTAGGGGCTCTTCTATAAAACTGATTCTCTAAAGCAATGAATTGCACAAATTACACGTAATATCTCATAAATTGAATACCAATTTAGTTATAAAAGCTTTATTTCCTGGAGGAAATTAATTGGTCTGGTTAAATTTAGATTAATTAGAGAGGTAAATCGATTAATTATGGTCTATGCCTAGTGGAAAATAATTACATACTTGAATGATAAACCTCTGTTGGATGGGTATATACGTACATTGTGCAGTTATACTGGAAGTCAAAGCTGAGTTAGTAACTGAAAGGTTGTTGATTCAAACCCCCAAAAGGGCCGATCAATAAACTATCTTCACTGTGCCCTTGAGGAAGACACTTAACCCAAGGCTGCCATCTATGTACTGCAAAGACGCTTTGGATAAAAGTGCCAACCACTGACAAAGTAGTAAACAACAGTAATAGCAGCCAGAAAGAACAGAACTGACACCATATCCCATATAACTTTGATTTGTATAGATGAAATAACAGTTTCCAAAAAAAAAAAAAAAAAAGCCAGCGACATCAAAACCCAGAAAAAAAGCTGTTTTAGATTAGTGCTTCATTCAAATTGAGCTTAACATGTGCGTGGGGGGCTGAAACACCATTTCCAAAAGGGGACCCAGGCGATAAACCAATAATGATAATTATCGCAATATTATTTCTCAATAAAACGATATCAAGAGGTCAATAAATATACGATGTGTATGCGCCAAAAGCGGAACGAAACTCATTTGAACCGCGTGTGCCTCACGGACTGTTTATCCGCTCCCTTTCTCCCATTCATTTTGGCGTCACTTTGACAGCGAATAACTTCAGATCTGCGTCCAAAGACTTCATTTGTCCATTGTTTATTTCTAAAGAAACACGACAATGTATAAAAGGCTCCATTACCTTATGTTATGGCCCCGTAGAAGCAGTTTTTGTAAAAAAAAAAAAAAAAAGGCTAACAATTCCATCATAACGAATCGACTCTCTGTCACACAGAGGAGAAGCTTGCAGGCAAAGAATACAAACGACCCCATTTCCGTTTCCAGGCGGCGGAGTAATACCGTACATCACAGAACATACAATACAAGTCAATGGAGTTGGACAAAAACTACGATAAAACCTGTTGGAAAGCATCTTTTGCAGCGATTTTTGTGTGAGCATATCAGTAAACACCCCAGACCACTCGGTGAGTTTCAAGTCTTTGTAAAATAAAGTTTGAGTTTTTATGAAGGATTGTTCCTGTGCACCTATGCTACCATTGTAAAGGTGTGTGTGTGTGTGTGTGTGTGGGGGGGGGGTCGTAACAGCAGCATTTGTCTAAAAAACAATCCTAACCAATCTACCGTAGTTCACCAGAGGGCTGTTTCACAAAAGCAGAATTTAGAAATCCAGGATAAGAGATAAAGCTGGGCTTGGCCTATAGTGTGATCAGTGCATCCTGGCTTTATCAATTTCACAAAGGCCAAACCAGGCTCAGGAGGAGCGGCTATGTCAAGCCAGGTGTAAGTAATTCAGATAAGTGGGTGTCAACATCTTTCTTCAAGAGACCACACAGTCCAGATTCATTGATGCTACAATGGATAAGTTGCGTGCGCCATACTTCCATACTTCCGCTGACTGAACAGATAAGGCACCAGGATTGACTAAGCCTGGCTGTAAGCCTGGTCTGGAGCAGGCTAGCTGCACAGAATAAATCGCCATGGTAACTTATGTGCTACTGCTTTCGTGAAACCGAGTAGCGGCTTAATTCAGCCAGGATATCTGGAAAATCCCGGCTTAATCCGCTATCTTGGTATTGTGAAACAACCCTTAGAAATGATCTTAAAACAGGGCTTTAATTGTAAAATACTGAACTTGTCCTTTAAGGAAAAATGACAAATGTTTGAATGTTCTAACTCAGATTTGGCAAATGTTCTTGTTTTTTGGCAAGTGTTTGTCATGATATGTTCTGACATTAAAGAGTAGTTTAAAAACACAATTAACTCTCTGGTTTCTATAACCTTCACTTAGGAGCAAAATCTGCCTTTAAACTTGAAAGAAATAAAGATTTGACATTTATCGTGATAATTATTGATATCGACTAATATAAAAAATGATTGGGATATTTTTTTGGCCATAATCGCCAAGCCCTACATGCTAGTGTGATCAGGATCACAATCCAGGGATAGAGTGGAACATTTTTACGTTCCCACACAGACCTTGTAAAAGGACCGTGTTGCAATGATGATGTGTGACATCATGATATTTTAATCTTAGTGGAGCCTCTCACTTTTTCCTCAAAGTGTCTATATTCCGGGTGAGATACGGGATAAGATAAAGGCTCAACCACAAAGAACATGGAAGATGGGTGTCCTTTCATTCTAATGCATTTTCCAAAATGTTTTGGCATAAACTACAAAGACAGGCAAAGGCAGCCTGCATGAAACTTAGATCAATACATACAATGGGAGTGAGATATGAAAGAGACAAAGAGACTGACACACAGAAATACAAGAACCCCTAGCATCATAGTTTGATCATGCCACAATACTTGCTTATGTATAGTGAATTCTGTGTTGATAAGCAATTATAAAACAAATACATTATAAAATGGTTGAAAATTCTGACCTCTGACCACACTCTCTGTTAACTCACTCACTCACTTCTCATTTGGACTAGTGCTTTTGGGTACTTTCATTGTAACTTCATGGAAATATTTACCAGAAACATGTAATAAACCAACCTAAGCTCATTGGAAAAACATGCATCTACCTGCATTTTTGCAAAAATTTCTTATACATTAAATTCACTGCATTTTACAGCTGAATTGAACACTAGATGCAGTTAAACACCAATAAATGATACTCCTCACTGATTGTGATTACAATGGCAGATAATCCATAACACTTATTTTCACATGGTTCCTTGCACTAAATTATGCTATGACAATTGTACCATAGTGCATGAATAGTAAACTAATATATTTTTATATTTGCATCATAACCAGCTCCATGCATGTTTTTTTTCTGATTTAATAAAACATGCTTGGAAGCTTACCTGGTAGAATGTGTAGAATCAAGCTAAAATGGCATTGTTGCTTTAGCTGATGCATTTATCTTATGTTTGCTTGTTAACACTATTAACCTTTTAGAGACACTCACCAGACATTTTATTTCCTAAATACCACAATACATAACCAGTATCAATTTGTTTTTGATAAAACTGAACTTACTTTTTTAGCGCATTTCACGGGATAATTTATTTGGAAAGTGTTCTAAAAAATACAAGCAGCATTGTAATATAATTATGCAGACATGCTTGCTATAGCCACATTTTCCCAATGTGCCTGGGTTGCAATAAAAACAAGAGCAAGAGAACATGCCATTTTGCTAGACTTAGATGGTCATATGAACAGAACGATTACCATCAATCACAGTCTTTTATACCAAACACTCAGACAGATGAAAAGGACAATAATGAGGCACATACCCCTGGATGGCAATAATAAAAAAAGAAGACCACAGCTTACAAGATAAATACAGGCTGCCAAGATGTCCTACAGCTGCTTGCAGCTCTGTCTCCACAGGAGCTGTAGAAAACACCCAAAGTCAAAACATGAGAGTGCAAAAGACCATTTGATCCAGAGATTTGATCCATTAGGTGACATGGTTTGACAATACACTGGAACATTTGAATTCTTGCAAAAAGAAAAATCCTGTGATTTCAAATAATCTGCTTTTTTGGTGGTCCACACCCTTGTTCGCAGTCTATGTAGAGAGCAAAAAATAAATAAAAAAGGTATGTAGCACATTCTGCCTTCTGAGAAACAAATGCCAATAGTATTGCATATATCCTTAGCAGATAAAGCCATCTCATAATGTAATGGAACTGTAAAAAACAAACAAAAAAAAAAAAACAATTAGCCTATAATTATGATTGTAAATATAATTTATTCAATATAAAAAAGGAATCAATAAAAAAATCTGTTCAATCGAATTAAAATTGTCAATATCTGTGCAGCTGTGCACAAATTTATATATTTGCTTATTTTTTTTTTTTTTTTTTTGCAGAAATGTAAATAAGTACAGATTTAAGCTTTGACCATCAGAACAAAGATAAAAAAACAGCACAAAATAAGAAATAACTAAAATATAATTCTTGAAATTAGAGGCATGATCACAGAATCAAAATCACTAAACATTAATGGTGAAAAAATTTACACATTATTTTCTGTAAATAAATGTGGACAACATAAAAACATTTAATTCAGCTTCTTTCCCCCCCTTTCCTGAGACCGTACTAATGTTTACCCACTTCATATGGCTAGTGTCAGCACACACTAATTACACTCCGTATCCAGCATGAAAACGGTAGTCTGGAATGCCCTATGAGCACTGCCTCCTGGAAGCCTGCTGATCTTGCCAGCAAAATGCTTGTCTTAAAACTTAAATCATGGGGCTCTAAGTTCACATGATCAGAACAGTGAAACTGCTAATTGTGTCTATAGCTATAGCATGTGTCTATAGCATTTTAAAAAAAAATCTATTCAAAGTCTTAATAAACATGTGCTGCTTATAAATTTAAACAGCTTTTCAGAATAGGAGTTTAAAATGAGAAACTTTCACAAGACAGAACAGGTAAAAAAAAAAAGGTATTTATGTTCTTTTTGATCCGTTAAGACTACTTTTACAGAATTGCGACATTGATGTCTTGGAAGCAGAAGTCTTAATTGGTGTAATATGGTATTGAGAATGTTAGAATGGAACAGAAAAACAAGGCATAAATATAGATTTCAATCATAAAGCCCCCTCAGTGCTTAGAACAAAATTCCTGGTCTGCTGTCAAAATAAAACTATGATACAAGCATAACAATGATACAGTATATCTATGTGTCCAACCAAATTACTGGAATATAAATCCAATTGCACAGCAATGTATTAACACCCTGTCTAACTACCTCCACAAGTGAAAAACAAAATGTCCTGGCTCACAGAACAAAAGAAGAGAGGCCAAGCCAGGCCAGCTAGAGGGAGCATGGGGCCAGAAGTGAGATGAAAGGCTGGAAGCACAAAGCAGCAGTGGGCGGTGATGGGTTCTTTATCTTGACTCTGCAATAAAGAATCAGCAATGCCATACGTGAACTACTTTTCTGACAGAATACTAGCTGTGTCAAAGGTAGTAAAAGGCCACACTGTACTAAAAACTTCAGCTTTGAGAAAACTGCCCAGTAACAGGGTTGATTGCTGTCGGATAGCAGGCGTCAAAAGCACAGGTTGTGGTTCAACTTCATTCTGCCGATGGAAAGGAACATTGAACATTCCAGAAGACAAAAATGTTTTTATGCATCCTCTCTGTCTCTGTTTTATTTAAGCATGTAATTTCTGCTACCAGTGTCACCACAATTTCCATGGGTCAGCCAAAAAGACAGTACCTCTAAACCAAGACATTGCTGTGTCAGGCGAGTCAGATTGTTTAAAAAACTAAAATGGGAGGCCAGCAAAGAAGCTTAAACTAGCTTCTTATTAACATTACATAAATCACGAAAATACAGCAAATCTGATGGTAGCTATGGGATTAAATGTCCAATTTCTAGAAGTTCAAACATGTAAAAAAAAGGGGATTTTTTTTCTCTTGAATAAACATGCCAAAAATTACTATATGCAATATTCAAAACTTTAAACAACAACAAAAATTATAGACACACTACTGTTCAAAAGTTTGGGGTTGGCACGATTTTTAAACGTTTTTAAAAGAAGTATCTTATCACTAACCAAAGCTATGTTTATTTGACCAAACTGCAGTAAAAGTTATCTATTTTAAATATATCTTAAAATTAAATTTATACCTGTGATGGCAAAGTTGAATTTTCACCATCATTACTCCAGTCTTCAGTGTCCCATGATCCTTCAGAAATCATTCTAATGCTGATTTGGTCCTCAAGAAACATCCATCATTATTATCATAAGTTGAAAACAATTTTCCTTAATTGTTTGTGGTATTACAGCACAGAGAAATACAGTATATCTTCTATAGACCATTTTGCAAGATGTAAACAACACTGGTCCAGAAGCACTTCCTGTTTCAGTTTTTTAACTCTGCATAAAAGCTGGGATAAAATACAACCAACAGAACATATAAAACTGAATCAAAAAGTTAAACAAATATCTTTAAGATGTTTCTTTACATGTGAAATAAAGAAAACAGTTACAAACTGAAACAGGAAGTGTTTCTGGACCAGTGTTGTTTACATCTTGCAAAATGGTCTATATTAACCTACAATACAGAAGATTAAAAGATAAACAGACTGATCGAGAGGTTAAATATTAATAAATGTTTTACTCATGCATAACAGGAGGAATTAAGAAATCAATATTCCATTTCTTAATTAGTCACATAAACACCTCTTATAGGAAAAGTTCAGCCAAAAAACTCCTCAGGCTGAAATTTCATTTAATACCCCTGATACGATCACTGCCTCAGGTAAGAATCACATGGATATCCTAAAACGATTACATTTCAGTAGGAATGAGAGCATTTGTTAGGGAAACAGTAAAATGGTCCAACTCACTCCACATCAACTGAATCATGTGGCAGGCATGACTTAAAGCCTCTTGGGAGAGACTTTGAAGGTAAATACAGCTCAAGTTCAGGGTTGAATGATTCTAATAACTTTGTGAGTGTCTAGAGCTTTGAGACTCTCTTGCCTCGAGTAAGATCTGAACCTTAATAGACATGCTGCAGTTTAGACTAATCCTCTGTACACACAAAATATATTTTACACTGGTGGCTTGTCAGCTAAATTCGGTCCTGACGGACTAAAAAGTGTTAGGTTAAAGGTTACATATGAGCACAACCAAATAAATTCCCACAAACTCATCTTGAAAACCAAATTCAAATACATGGCATTTGATGTAAAGCTTTGATCTTTTGATTTGTGCTCCGCAAGTCCGCATGAGAAAAAAAAATCTAGGTGAAAACTTGAGTGGTTACTAAAAGCCAACATCAGATTTTTATTCTTACATTTTTTATTATTTATATAGCACCATACAGGCAACCCCCATAGTTCTAAAGTGCTGTACATTGCAATCAAAAGCAACAGAACAATAAGACAAAACATGTACTAATGTACTAAAATGGCAAAGAGTACATATATGATTTTAAGCGGTCCTTAAAACATTAAGATATAAGATATAACATCCAATGGCAGATTATTCCACAATCTAGGACCAGAGAAACCACGATCACCCTTTAATTTAAGAAGAAAAAAAAATGTGCAAAAATGATTGTGCAGCTATTCTATTTATTCCGATTACATTCGCCTGTGGCAATTTTTTTAGTAGAGAATTTCTTGTTATACTTAAAGACACAGTATGTCATTTTTGCTGCTAGAGGTCACATATTCAAAACAATAACAAAGGCATAGCTTGATGACGAGGTGAAGGAGTGTGGAATGATGGGAGTTGTCGTCTTTACCTCCACTGCCGATGGAAATCAATCTGACGGGAATCACAAATCATGTTCATGGATGAAGTAATGAAATTAAAAATGCCCTAGAATTTGAAATTGAATTTATCTTGGCATAGTTTAATAAAAAATGTTCAGTACATGGACATAACATAGAGTGAGTCTCAAACACCATTGTTTCTCGTCCTTATTGGAAAATCGTTTTTTTGAAAAACACCCCTGAAAAATACACTAATCTCCACATAACACTGACTGTGACGCAACAGTCGGGATCATTAATATGTATGGCTCCAAAGATTTGCATATGCCAGCCCATGTTTAATGCCAAGTGAAACTGCGCAGCCAAATCATTGGAAGCTCTGCAGGTGAAGAAACAAGCAAGGCAGATCATGAAGACAAAAGTTATATTCCTGGCTGTGCAGGGGATGTGAGGACTTTTCATACCCTTCCCACAGAAGAGATATGTCAACAGGAGTGGTTGATGTTTATCTATAGCCGGATATAGCAACAGTTTAATTCAAAGTTGTTAGTTTGCTCTGCCCATTTCACCACAGACTTATTTTCTAACCTGGGACAGTATCAAGCAGACTTCTCTCAGCGTCTCATACTGAAGAAGTGGGCAATTCCAACTAGCTTAACAAAACTGTAGAGGCACATTTTATGGATATGGCTCACAAAGCTATTATGACTTAAATTGCAATATAGCATTATAAAACAAGTCACATGGACTACTTTGTAAGGCGAGTTTTCCATGGTCACCATCATTGTATGGAAAAGAGCAGTGAAGATACATCAAAATTCCCCCTTTTGTATTCAGCTGAAAATAACATACAAGTTTTGAATAACATGAGGGTGGAAAATAGTGACAGTTATATAGACAACTTTTGTTCATTCCTTCATTGAAACCAGCCACTCCAGTTGCTGGCTTATGTAAAGAATACCTAAAGCACTGAATGAAGCACACTTGCTGACTGGAATACAGTAAGCTTGTCACTGAAGAATAGTCTCCTGTGGGAGAGGTTTTCAATAATCCATCACCTGAGGTCACACATTCTCCCATCTCACATGAGCCACTCCAGCATCCTAATTGCATACTTGTCCTGCATTGCACAAGAACAATTCATA